TGCGTCGCGCCTGTGGCTGATCTTTGTTGGTTCCCCCAGTCCCAAACTTTAAGGTAGGCTGCCGTCGGGGATCGCTAAAGCAGCTCGGCGGCACGCGCAACATTCGGTCGACCGCCTGACCAAGTACTACGGCCCCTTCTCCGCTGCCATCAACAGCTCTTGGGTGGGGGGGGCATTCAAGAGCGCTCGCGTGGAGACAAGCATGATGAGGAATCTGGAGGATTGGGTCGACGTAGGGACAATTCAAAGTACTGCGAAGGAACGGAGAGGAGTTCAGCGGGGAGCTGCGGAACACCCCAGGCCAGCCCAGGGGGGCCGATGGCGGGGGACGAGTGGCCCCCAATGGCTTCACAGTGGCCACGCGGTGGCCTTTTGTAAACTTACAAGTGGCTTCCTTGGCACGTCCCCTGACATGTCCCCTGGCGCATCCCCGAGTTCACCCCATTGCACATTCCATGTCGCGTCCATGCGCCCTGCGGTCTGGATCGTCTCGTCACGCTTCAGAACTGAGTCGGATCTGCCCGAGTTGATTGTTTCTTGGCGAGTTGGGCCGTCAGGCAGCTCGAGCTTCAGGTCCGAATCAGTTTGGGCAAATCCGGTGGCGCGCCCCCCTGGCACATCGTGCGGCGCGCTGGCATGTCCCCTGGCACGTCCCCTGCCACGTCCACTGGCACGTTCAGTGTCGCGTCCCCTGGCACGCTACTGTGCGGCGCGGCACAGCGCAGAGCAGGACCGCGTGTTTTCCCGGTCTAGGCCACCCAGAGGGCGGTTCTAACATGGCGCTCCCGAGTTGGAGCCACGTGTTTTCACGTCGCCAGACCACCTATGGAGGTATCTAACATGGTAGTCCCGAGTTCGAGCACCGTCTTCTTACGTGTCTGGACCATGCAGGGCGGGTATCCGCCATGGTTGTCCCAGGCTGGAGCCACGTGTTTTCGCGTGCCCAGGCCACCCAGGGGTGGCATCGAACATGGTTGCCCCGAACATGGTTTCACGTGCTCGCGCCACCCAGGGGATATCCAACATGGTAGTCGCGAGTTGGAGACACGTTCCACACGGGAGGGTATCTAACACGGTGGTCCCGAGCTCAAGTCGCGCGTACGTCCCCTGGCACGTTCCGTGGCGCGTCCCCCTTGCACGTCGCGCGGCGCGTCCCCTGGCGCGTCCATTGGCACGTTCCGAGGCGCTTCCTTCTGGCACGTCGCACGTCCCTTGGAACGTTCCGCACGGCACGGCACACACGTCGCACGGTTCATGAGGTTTCGATTGCAATCCGTTTTGGGCGAGCAGTGCACCCAGGCAGTCCAGCTTGAGGCCCAGCTCTATCAGGATTCGCATGCCAGGGAAGATTTGATCCACGATTCGCCCCCTTTCGGTTCGTCCCGCTTCCGAACTGAATCGGGTCTTGAGCTCGAGCTGGTCGAGCACCCCGCGCGTCCCGATTGCGGCCAGATTTGAGTCATGCGTTCAGGCAGCTCGAGCTTAAACTCCAGATCAGTTTAATCGGGCTCTTTGACGCCAAGGACGACCTGTAGAGCACAGCACTTCAACGCGGCATGGAACGTCCCAGTTCATCACAGCACAGGGCAGCACAGCCCATGGCACTGCACATCACCATCGCTACCTTGCGCATTGCAATTGCCCGTCGCTCAATTGGGTGCCTTGAGCAATTCCCATGTTCCATATTTCTATGTACCTTTGTAGTCTCGTGGGTCGATCATGTTCCGGAAATTAGGCCCATGGTTCTTTTCCCGGAAAGGGCTTGGGCCCAGGGTTCTCTTTTAGGGGTTTGCCCCCGGATCTGACGGCTGTAGGGCCGGCCAATTTCTTTTGCGATAAATAACGAGGTCGCGTAGGGCCGGCGAATTAAAATTTGAGGATGTCCCTCGCGGAACGCTTATGTTTCAGAATTTGTTGAGGATGTCTCGAGCGAAACGCTTGTTTTGTGTTAAAGATTGTTCTCTCCTGGGGACCTGAATTCAGAGGATCTCTCAAGTGAAATGCTTGTTTTCACGTGCCCAGGTCTTGAGGATGTCTCGAGCGAGACGCTTGGTTTCACGCCTCCAGGTTGCCCAGACAGATGTCTAGCATGAGGATTTGTTGAGGATGTCTCTAATCAGAGGCTTGTTTTCACGTGTCCAGGTCGCCCAGGCGGATGTCTGGCATGAGGATGTGTCGAGGAAGTCTCGATCGAGACGCATGTTTGCACGTGTCCAGGTTGCCCAGGCGGATGTCTAGCGTGAGGATGTGCTGAGAACGTCTTGAGCGAAACGCGTGTTTTCACGTGTCCAGGTCGCCCAGGCACAGCACAGCCCTCGGCACGGTACATCAATATCGATACCTTGAGCATTGCAGCTTGGCATGTTGCCTGGCACATTCCGCGGAGCGTCTCGTGGCGAGTCCCCCTGGCATGTCGCGCGGTGCACGTCCACTGGCACGTTTCGTAGCGCGTCCCCTTGGCACGTCCCGCGGTGCGTGCACATGGCACGTCCCCTTGCACGCCGCCTGGCGCGTCCCTTGGGACGTTCCGCGGCGCGTCCTCCTGGCATGTCCCCTCTGTCGATTTGTTCTGGGACAGCTACCATCTGCTCAGGCAGCTCGAGCTTACGATCCAGATCTGCTCGGTCAGGAGTCGGATGCCAGGGAGGACTCGGATGCATGGAACATAGCAGTTCAGCACGGCCAGCACAGCGCAGCCGTCGGCACGGTACATCAAGATCGATACATTCATTATTGCATCTTGGCACGTTTTTTGGCGCGTTCCTTGGCGAGTCCACCTGGCACGTCGCGCGGCGCGTCCCCTGGCACGTCCCGCGGCACGTCCATTGGCACGTTCCGTAGCGCGTCCCCTTGGCACGCCCCGCGGTGCGTGCACATGGCACGTCCCCTGGCACGCCGCCTGGCGCGTCCCTTGGGACGTTCCGCGGCGCGTCCTCCTGGCATGTCCCCTCTGTCGATTAGTTCTGGGACAGCTACCATCTTCTCAGGCAGCTCGAGCTTAAGATCCAGATCAGTTCGGTCAGGACTCGGATGCCAGGGAGGACTCGATCCACAACTCTATATAGAGCACAATCGCGGCATGGAACATCGCAGTTCAGCACGGCCAGCACAGCACAGCCCTCGGCACAGTACATCAAGATCTGTACATTCAGCACTGCATGTGCCCGTCGCCCAATCAAGTGTCTTTGAAACTTTGCCACGCCTTACATTTCTGTATTCCTTTCAGGGTTCGTGGGTCGATCATGTTTTAGCAGGTTCGCCCTTGGGTCCAATTTGAGGTGTCCAGCGGGATTCCGCTCGGTAGTGAGTCAGGCGAAGCATGACTTACATATTAAGAAGTGGTTTTCGCGGGTGCCCGCTCATGAAAAGTGAGCCCGCCATCGCGGATCCTCGATATGTCATCCGCAGACCATCGCTTTTCTTTGTACAAAAGTTGATGCAGGGTTTTGCACGAAATCATAGACACATTTCACAGTCTGGGGGCTAAGATATGTAATGTAACATTGGAAACATGATGTTGTGAGTGCCCGCTCGGGGATGTCGCGTCCTGCGCGCAGAATCATCGAGAATGTCTCGACCGAAACGCTTGTTTTGCAGACCTTTGTGGGCCTGGGCGCCCCAGTGTGCCAAGGTGCTCCTGGGAGCGCGGACGCCGTGTAATTTTACGAGGGATGCTGGCCCTGGGGTCGTGGGCGCAGCATAATTTTGCGAAGCATCCTGGCCCTGGGAGCACGGACGCCGCGTAATGTAGAAGGGATCTTGCAGGTTGATTTGTGAAAGATCTTGACGCCCCAGAGCGGGACAAGCGTGAAAACACATGGGCTCCCAACGCCCCAGAGCGGGACAGGCGCGGAGACATTCGGGTTCCTGACGCCTTGGGGCGGGACAAGCATGAAAACGCAAAGTTCCCCAACGCCCCAGGAAGATACAAGCGTGACAACACTTGGGTTCCTGCCGCCCCAGAGCGGGACAAGCGCGAAACCACTTGGGCCCCTCATGCCCCAGAGCAGGACAAGCGTGACAACGCGTGGGTGCCCAACGCTCCAGAGCGGGACAAGCGTTAAAGCACATGGATTTCTAACGCACCAGATCGTGACAAGCGCGACAACACGTTGGGTCCTAACGCCCCAGGGCAGGTCAAGCCTGGCAACGCGTGGGCTCCTACCGCGTCAGGGCGGAACAAGCGTGAAATCACGTAGGTTCCTAACGCCCCAGACCGGAACGGCGTATGTTTCTCCTTCCATCGGCGCGTCCTTTGGCTCGTCCTCTGTCGCGTTCCCTGGCTTGTCCCCTGGCGCTCTTCCTGCCCGTTCCGCGACGCGTCCCTAGCCACTTCCCCTGACACGTCCCCTATCGCATCCCTTAGTGCGACCCTGGCACATTTCGTGGCGCGTCCATGCGCCCTGCGCCCCGTGTCGCCTCGTCCCGCTTCGGAGCGGAAGCGGATCTTGAGCTCGAGCTGATTGAACGTTCCACATGTTTCGATTGCGACCAGCTCTGGGCCCGCTAAGTATGCGCTCAGGCAGCTCGAGCTTAAAATCCAGATTAGTTCGGTCAGGGTTCGGATGTCAAGAGCGATTCATTGCGGCATGACAGATTTCAATTCCACACGGCACAGCACAGCACAATCTTTGGCACGGTTCACCACGATCGATATTTTCAGCATTGCAATTGTTTGTCGCCCAATATGGTGCCTTGAAATCGGAGCCATACCACGCGTGTCTAAATCCCTTTCCAGTTTCATTGGTCGATCAGATTGGCCAGGCCATGTGTTGTTTTATGTTCTTCTTCGGAATGTTTGTTGTCCCAGTGGGCTTGCCCTGCATTCCCATGCGCCCCAGGGTGAGCCGTGTCCACTCATCACCGACAGCGAACCTTCCTCGTACATACTGCCTTGCGCCGTGCCCCACGTCTCGCGTCTGATTCTGAATGGCTTTGTTCCATTCGGCGCTCCTCGTTGAAGTAGCCAGTCTGCACCTTCTTACCTACTCCTCGTCGAGGCCGATACGGCGACCAGCACGACAACTTTGCACAGCACTACCGAGACCAGCACAAGTCCACACAGCACCACCGCCACGTCTTCAGCAACGAGTACCACATACAGTGCCACTACGTTCAGCAGCACAACGGATAGCAGCGTATCGAGAAGCAGCAGCACGACATCCTCTCCGCACAGTTATACCCTCACGAGCTCGAGCAGCGCCACGGAGACAAGCCCTACGACATCGACAGGCACAACGCAGACAAGTACGACAACACTCACATCGACAAACTTCACGGCGGCGAGCCGCAGTCTTTCGACGCTACCCCCTCCATGGAACCCTCGACGGTCCCCTCCGGCGGGGCGCCCTCAAAAGCCAGCCCTGTGGAAGTCATGCGCCAAGGAGCTCCCCGTGGTGTTCCCAGAAAGGGCGTGGGCCCAGGGTTCTCTTTTAGTTGTTTACCCCCGGACCCGACGGGAAGAGGGCTGGCGGAATTGTTTGCGGTAAATAACAAGGTGGAAGAAGGTCGGCGGAATTATTTGTCCCTGAAAGGGCGGGGGCCCAGGGTTCTCTTTTAGTTGGTTTACCATCGGTTTCGACGACTCTAGGGCCGGCGATTTTCCCGGAAAGGGCGGGGGCCCAGGGTTCTCTTTTAGTGGGTAAACCTGTCCCCCGGTGCCAACTTGAAGGAGGCCGGCGAATTTTTTCCCTGATAAATAACGAGGTCGAAGGAGGCCGGCGAATTAAAATTTGAGGATGTCTCGAGCGAAACGCTTGTTTTTGAAATCCCGATCGATAAATCACAGGGTGCGGGCCACTTTTTCGTGTGTTGAGGATGTCTCGAGCGAAACGCTTGCTCCGCAGAGTTTGCCGAGGATGTCTCGAGCGAAACGCTTGTTTTGCAGAGCCGACCGCGACGCGGAAAAGCGCCCCGCGCGAAGGAATTTCGATGATGTTTCGACTAATTTGTTGTTTTTGTACGATTTCCTGGAATTTTGGCAGGATGTCTCGAGCGAAATGCACGACCCCACCCTAGCACGACCATACCCCAGCACGACCACACCCCAGCACGACCAGACCCCAGCACGACCCCACCCCAGCACGACCCCACCCCAGCACGACCATACCCCAGCACGACCACACCCCAGCACGACCCGACCCCAGCACGACCCTACCCCAGCAAGACCACACCCCAGCACGACCACACCCCAGCACGACCTCACCACAGCACGACCACACCCCAGCACGACCACGCCCCAGCACGACCACGCCCCAGCACGACCACGCCCCAGCACGACCACCCCCAGCACGACCACCCCCCAGCACGCACGACCACCCCCCAGCACGACCACCCCCCAGCACGACCACACCCCAGCACGACCACACCCCAGCACGACCACACCCCAGCACGACCACACCCCAGCACGACCACACCCCAGCACGACCACACCCCAGCACGACCCGATCGATAAATCACAGGGTGCGGAGCACCCCAGCACGAACCCACCCCAGCACGACCCCACCCCAGCACGACCCCACCCCAGCACGACCACGCCCCAGCATGACCACACCCCAGCACGACCACACCCCAGCACGACCACTCCCCAGCACGACCCCACCCCAGCACGACCCCACCCTAGCACGACCACACCCCAGCACGACCACACCCCAGCACGACCCCACCCCAGCACGATCACACCCCAGCACGACCCCACCCCAGCAAGACCACACCCCAGCACGACCGCACCCCAGCACGACCTTACCACAGCACGACCACACCCCAGCACGACCACGCCCCAGCACGACCACGCCCCAGCACGACCACGCCCCAGCACGACCACGCCCCAGCACGACCACGCCCCAGCACGACCACCCCCCAGCACGACCACCCCCCCAGCACGACCACCCCCCAGCACGACCACCCCCCAGCACGACCACACCCCAGCACGACCACTCCCCAGCACGACCACACCGCCTTGGTTGAGTGGTTGCCTGTCGTCGTGGAATGTTTCGTGGGGTGTCTCGTGGAATGTTTCGCGGGGTGTCTCGTGAAATGTTTCGTGAGGTGTCTCGTGGAATGTTTCGTGAGGTGTCTCGTGGGCTGTTTCGTGAGGTGTCTCGTGGGATGTTTCGTGAGGTGTTGCCCAGTTGGGTATCATGAAAACGTGTCCATGCTCCACATGTCTATATCCCTTTCCGGGTTCGTGGGTCCATCATGTTTTTCCCGGAAAGGGCGCGGGCCCAGGGTTCTCTTTTAGTAGGTTAACCCCCCGGCCCCCCTGCGACTTGGGCCGGCGAAATTATTCTGCGATAAATTACGAGGTCGCGTAGGGCCGGCGAATTACAAATTGAGGATGTCTCGAGCGAAACGCTTATTTTGTGTTATAGATTGTCCTCTCCTGGGGACTTGAATTCTGAGGATCTCTCAAGTGGATTGCATGTTTTCACTTGCCCAAGTCTTGAGAATGTCTCGAGCGAGACGCTTGGTTTCACGCCTCCAAGTGGCCCAGACAGATGTCTAGCATGAGGATTTGTTGAGGATGTCTCGAACCAGAGGCTTGTTTTCACGTGTCCAGGTCGCCCAGGCGGATGTCTAGCATGAGCATTTGTTGAGGATGTCTCTCGAGCGAGACGCTTGTTTGCACGTGTCCAGGTTGCCCAGGCGGATGTCTAGCATGAGGATGTGCTGACAACGTCTTGAGCGAAACGCGTGTTTTCACGTGTCCAGGTCGCCCAGGCACAGCACAGCCCTCGTCACGGTACATCAATATCGAAACCCTTAGCATTGCAGCATGGCATGTTGCCTGGGCACGTTCCGCGGAGCGTCCCGTGGCGAGTCCCCCTGGCACGTCGCGCGGTGCACGTCCATTGGCACGTTCCGTAGCGCGTCCCCTTGGCACGTCCCGCGGTGCGTGCCCATGGCACGTCCCCTGGCACGTCGCCTGGCGCGTCCCTTGGGACGTTCCGCGGCGCGTCCTCCTGGCATGTTCCCTCTGTCGATTAGTTCTGGGGCAGCTACCATCTGCTCAGGCAGCTCGAGCTTACGATCCAGATCAGTTCGGTGAGGACTCGGATGCCAGGGAGGACTCGATCCACAACGCTATATAGAGCACAATCGCGGCATGGCACATCGCAGTTCAGCACGGCCCAGCACAGCACAGCCGTCGGCACGGTACATCAAGATCGATACACTCAACTATGCACCTTGGCACATTCCTTGGCGCGTTCCGTGGCGAGTCCACCTGGCACGTCGCGCGGCGCGTCCCCTGGCACGTCCCTCGGCACGTCCATTGGCACGTTCCGTAGCGCGTCCCCTTGGCACGTCCCGCGGTGCGTCCCCATGGCACGTCCCCTGGCACGTCGCCTGGCGCGTCCCTTGGGACGTTCCGCGGCGCGTCCTCCTGGCATGTTCCCTCTGTCGATTAGTTCTGGGGCAGCTACCATCTGCTCAGGCAGCTCGAGCTTACGCTCCAGATCAGTTCGGTGAGGACTCGGATGCCAGGGAGGACTCGATCCACAACGCTATATAGAGCACAATCGCGGCATGGCACATCGCAGTTCAGCACGGCGTAGCACAGCACAGCCCTCGGCACAGTACATCATCATCGATACATTCAGCATTGCATGTGCCCGTCGCCCAATCAGGTGTCTTTGAAATGTTGCAATGCCTTACATTTCTATATTCCTTTCCGGGTTCGTGGGTCGATCATGTTTGATGCGATAAATAACGAGGTCGTCTAGGGCTGGCGAAATTATGTTTGAGGATGTCTCGAGCGAAACGCTTGTTTTTTGTTACAGAATTCGTTGAGGATGTCTCGAGCGAAACGCTTGTTTTGTGTAAACGACTGTCCTCTCCTGGGGACCTGAATTCAGAGGATCTCTCAAGTGAAATGCTCGTTTTCACGTTCCCAGGTCTTGAGGATGTCTCGAGCGAGACACTTGGTTTCATGCCTCCAGGTTGCCCAGACAGATGTCTAGCATGAGGATTTGTTGAGGATGTCTCGAACCAGAGGCTTGTTTTCACGTGTCCAGGTCGCCCAGGCGGATGTCTAGCATGAGGATGTGTCGAGGACGTCTCGATCGAGACGCTTGTTTGCACGTGCCCTGGTTGCCCAGGCGGATGTCTAGCATGAGGATGTTCTGAGACTGTCTTGAGCGAAACGCGTGTTTTCACGTGTCCAGGTCGCCCAGGCACAGCACAGCCCTCGGCACGGTACATCAATATCGATACCTTGAGCATTGCAGCCTGGCATGTTGCCTGGCACGTTCCGCAGAGCGTCCCGTGGCGAGTCCCCCTGGCACGTCGCGCGGTGCACGTCCATTGGCACGTTCCGTAGCGCGTCCCCTTGGCACGTCCCGCGGTGCGTGCGGATGCCAGGGAGGACTCGATTCACAACGCTATATAGAGCACAATCGCGGCATGGCACATCGCAGTTCAGCACGGCCCAGCACAGCACAGCCGTCGGCACGGTACATCAAGATCGATACACTCAACATTGCACCTTGGCACGTTCCTTGGCGCGTTCCGTGGCGAGTCCACCTGGCACGTCGCGCGGCGCGTCCCCTGGCACGTCCATTGGCACGTTCCGTAGCGCGTCCCCTTGGCACGTCCCGCGGTGCGTCCCCATGGCACGTCCCCTGGCACGTCGCCTGGTGCGTCCCTTGGGACGTTCCGCGGCGCGTCCTCCTGGCATGTCCCCCTGTCGATTAGTTCTGGGGCAGCTACCATCTGCTCAGGCAGCTCGAGCTTAAGATCCAGATCAGTTCGGCCAGGACTCGGATGCCAGGGAGGACTCGATCCACAACGCTATATAGAGCACAATCGCGGCATGGCACATGCAGTTCAGCATGGCGTAGCACAGCACAGCCCTCGGCACAGTACATCAAGATCGATACATTCAGCATTGCATTTGCCCGTCGCCCAATCTGGTGTGTTTGAAACGTTGCCATGCCTTACATTTCTATATTCCTTTCGGGGTTCGTGGGTCGATCATGTTGAGGGTGTCCCGAACGAAACGCTTGTTCCCGGAAAGGGCGCATGCCCAGGGTTTATTTTATTTAGTAGGTTAACCCCCCGGTTCCGGCTTGATGGAGGCCGGCGAATTCTTTCCGTGAGAAATAACGAAGTTTGATGAGGGCCGGTGGGATTATTTCTGAGGACATCTCGAGCGAAACGTGGGTTTTTGAGGTTCCGCTCGGGAGATAGCAAGGTAAAGTGACGGTTTCCGTTTGTTGCGGATGTCGCGAGCGAACCGCTCGTTTTGCACAATTCGTGAGGCTGTCTTGAGCGACGCGCTGGAAGTGCATGAGCTCCAGGAGCCTGAGCGCCCGAGGATGCCCCAGGGGGGGGGTCGGGGGTGGACATACCTCCTACCCTGACACGTCGATTAAGGAATTGGCCGTTTTCGCTTTGCGAGAGGGCGTCGCGCCCTTCCTTTTTGCGGGTCCAGGTCCGTCGGTTTCGGTGTATCTAACACTTGTCGACGTGTCCAGGCCCGCCAGGGATGTACATGTCATGGCTGTCCCGAGCAAGGACCACGTGTTGTCACGTGTCCAGGTCACCAAGGGGGGTATCTAACATGGCTGCCCAGCTCAAGGGCCACGTATTTTCACGTGTCCAGGCTATCCAGGTGTTCTACGTGTCTACGTCACAGGTGGGGCATCTATCATGGTTGCCCCCGGCAAGGACCACGTGTTTTAACGTGTCCAGGCCACCCAGGGGTGTATCTAACATGGTTGCCCAGAGCTGGAACCATGTGGTTTATGTTTCCAGGCCACCTAGGGGGGTATCTTATATGATTGTCCCGACTTGGAACCAAGTGGTTTTACGTATCCAGGCCGCCCAGGGGGGTATTTAACATAACGTGTCCAGGCCATTTAGGGGGTATCCAACATGAGCTTCCTGTTCTGTATTGGGATATGGGTTCGGGGAGCGTTGTTCGCTTCCCCCCGCCCCCCATGAGGCCCCAGGAGGCTCGAGAAGAGTGAGAACATATCGGATTCTAACGCCCCAGGGTGGGACAAGCATGACAACACATGGTTCCTAACGCCACAGGGCGGGGGAAGCGCGACAACATATGGGTTCTAACGTCCCAGGGTTGGACAAACGTGAAAACACATGGGTTCCGAATGCCCCAGGGCGGGAGATACGTGACAACACATGGGTTCCTAACGCACCAGGGCGGGGCAAGCCTGAAAACATATGGTTTCTAACGCGCCAGGTCGGGGGAAGCGTGAAACACATGGGCTCCACACCGCTCTGTGCTCAGGTAGCTCGAGCTCAAGATCCAGATCAGTTCGGTCAGGACTCGGATGCAAAGGAGGACTCGACCCACAACGCTATAGAGCACAATCGCGGCATGGCACATCGCAGTTCAGCACGGCGCAGCACAGCACAGCCCTCGGCACGGTACATCAAGATCGATACATGCAGCATTGCACCTTGGTACGTTCCTTGGCACGTTCCGTGGCGTGTCCCGTGGCGAGTCCCTTTGACACGTCGCGCGGCGCGTCCCCTGGCACTTCCCGTGGCGCGTCCATTGGCACGTTCCGTAGCGCGTCCCCATGGCACGCCACCTGGCGCGTCCACTGGGACGTTCCGCGGCGCGTCCTCCTGGCATGTACCCATGTCAAGTAGTTCTGAGGCAGCTGCTATGTGCTCAGGCAGCTGTAGCTAAAATCCAGAGCAATTTGGTCAAGACTCGGATGCTAAGGAGGACTCGACCCACAACGCTAAACAGCACAATCGCGGCATGGCACATCTCAATTCAGCACGGCGCAGCACAGCACAGCCTTCGGCACGGTACATCAAGATCTATACTTTCAGCATTGATTTTGCCCGCCGCCCAATCAGGTGTATTTGACACGTTGTCATGCCTTGCATTTCTAAATTCCTTTCCTGGTTCGTGGGTCGATCATGCTCCCAGACAGGGCATAGCCTCAGGGTTTTCTTGTAGCTTTTTACCCCCGGAATCGGCTTGAAGAGGGCCGGCGAATTTTCGCTCGTACATGATCGACCCACGAAGCCGGAAAGGGACATGGAAATATGAGGCATGGCGTCTTTTTCCCGGAAAGGGCTTAAGCCCAGGGTTCTCCTTTAGTGGGTTTACCCCCGAGTTTGACTTGAGGTGGGCGGGCAAATTTCTTTTGCGATAAATATCGAGGTCGAGGTGGGCGGGCGAATTGAATTAGAGGATGTCTCGAGCGAAACGCTTGTTGTCAGAATTTGTCGAGGATGTCTCGTGCGAAACGCTTGGTTTGTGTTATGTATTGTCCTCTCCTGGGGACCAGAATTCAGAGGATCTCTGAAGTGAAATGCTTGTTTTCACGTGCCCAGGTCTTGAGGATATCTCGAGCGAGACGCTTGGTTTCACGCCTCCAGGTTGCCCAGACAGATGTCTAGCACAAGGATTTGTTGAGGATATCTCGAGCCAGAGGCTTGTTTTCACGTGTCCAGGTCGCCCAGGCGGATGTCTAGCATGAGGATTTGTTGAGGATGTCTCGAGCGAGACGCGTGTTTGCACGTGTCCAGGTTGCCCAGGCGGATGTTTAGCATGAGGATGTGCTGACAACGTCTTGAGCGAAACGCGTGTTTTCACGTGTGCAGGTCGCCCAGGCACAGCACATCCACCCGCCCGGTACATCGATATCGATACCCTTAGCATTGCAGCCTGGCATGTTGCCTGGCACGTTCCGCGGAGCGTCCCGTGGCGAGTCCCCCTGGCACGTCGCGCGGTGCACGTCCATTGGCACGTTCCGTAGCGCGTCCCCTTGGCACGTCCCGCGGTGCGTGCCCATGGCACGTCCCCTGGCGCAACGACTGGCGCGTCCCTTGGGACGTTCCGCGGCGCGTCCTCCTGGCATGTCCCCCTGTTGATTAGTTCTGGGGCAGCTACCGTCTGCTCAGGCAGCTCGAGCTTACGATCCAGATCAGTTCGGTGAGGACTCGGATGCCAGGGAGGACTCGATCCACAAGGCTATATAGAGCACAATCGCTGCATGGCTCAGCGCAGTTCAGCGCGGCCCAGCACAGCACAGCCCTCGGCACGGTACATCAAGATCGATACACTCAACATTGCACCTTGGCACGTTCCTTGGCGCGTTCCGTGGCGAGTCCACCTGGCACGTTCCGCGGCGCGTCCCCTGGCACGTCCCTCGGCACGTGCACTGGCACGTTCCGTAGCGCGTCCCGTTGGCACGTCCCGCGGTGCGTGCCCATGGCACGTCCCCTTGCACGTCGCCTGGCGCGTCCCTTGGGACGTTCCGCGGCGCGTCCTCCTGGCATGTTCCCTCTGTCGATTAGTTCTGGGGCAGCTACCATCTGCTCAGGCAGCTCGAGCTTACGATCTAGATCAGTTCGGTGAGGACTCGGATGCCAGGGAGGACTCGATCCACGACGCTATATAGAGTACAATCGCGGCATGGCACATCGAAGTTCAGCACGGAGTAGCACAGCACAGCCCTCGGCACAGTACATCAATATCGATACATTCAGCATTGCATGTGCCCGTCGCCCAATCAGGTGTCTTTGAAACGTTGCAATGCCTTACATCTTTAGATTCCTTCCCGGGTTCGTGGGTTGAACAAGTTCAAGACCCCGCGAATTCAGCTTATTCCCCTGTCCCTCAGATCGACAAGCCAAAGGCGATAACAGTCTTAGGGATGCGCCCTGAACATGATCGACCCACGAACCCGGACAGGAATATAGAAATGTTAGGCATGGCAACGTTTCAAAGACACCTGGTTGGGCGACGGGCAATTGCAATGTTGAATGTATCGATCTCGGTGTACAGTGCCCAGGGTTGTGCTGTGCTGTGCCGTGCTGAATTGCGATGTGCCATGCCGCGATTGTGCTCTATACCGTTGTGGATCGAGTCATCCTTGACATTCGAGTCATCCAGATCGGGATGCCCCTCCCCCGTCGGCGCGTCCCTTGGCTCGTCCTCTGTCGCGTTCCCTGGCTTGTCCCCTGGCGCTTTCCCTGCCCGTTCCGTGGCACATGCCTTGCCACGTCCCCTGACACGTCCCTTGGCGCATCCCCGAGTGCAACCCGGGCACATTCCGTGGCGCGTCCATGCGCCCTGCGCCCCGTGTCGCCTGCTTCGGAACTGAGTCGGATTTTGTGCTCGAGCTGATTGAGTGTCACACATGTTTCGACTGCAACCAGCTCTGGGCCAGCTGTGAGCTCAGGCAGCTCGAGCTTAAGATCCAGATCAGTTCGGTCAGGAGTCGGATGCCAAGGGCGACTTGATCCACAACATTATAGAGCAGACCGCAGTTATTGCGGCATGAAACATTCCACTTCCGCACGGCAGAGCACAGCACAATATTAGGCACGGTACATCAAGATCGATCTATTCAGCATTGCAATTGCTCGTCGCCCAATATGGTGCCTTGAAAACGTAGCCATACCACGCGTGTCTAAATTCCTCTCCGGTTTCATTGGTCGATCATATTGGCTATGTGTGGTGTGTTGTTCTTCTTCGGAAAGTGAGTTGTCCCAGTGGGCTTGCCCTGCATTTCCATCCGCCCCAGGGTGAACGGCGTCCACTCATCACCGACAGCGAACCGTCCCCATGCATACTGCCTTGCGCCGTGCCCCGCGTCTCGCGTTTGATTCTGAAGGGCTTTGTTCCATTCGGCGCTCCTCGTTGAAGTAGCCAGTTTGTACCTTCTTACCTACTCCTCGTCGAGGCTATCACGGCGACCAACACGACAACTTTGCACAGCACTACCGAGACCAGCACAACTCCACACAATGCCACCGCCACGTCTTCAGCAACAAGTGTTACAGATAATGCCACTACGTTGAGCAGCACAACGGATAGCAGCCTATCGAGAAGCAGCAGCACAACGTCTTCTCCATGCAGTTCTACCCTTACGAACGTGGACAGCATCATGGCGACAACAAGCTCGACGACATTGACAAGCACATCGCAGACAAGCACGACAACAATCACATCGACAAACGTCACGACGGAGATCCGCAGTCTTTCCACGCCTTCCCCCTCATGCTCTCTTTACCCTCCTCCCGAGGAGATGTGCCACTGTGCGTTCGTCGTAGCTGTCGGGGCGATAGCCAGTGGCTTAGAGTGCCCTCGAACGCCAGCCCTTTGCCATGTTCCCAGGAGCTCCCCGTGATGTTGTTGTTGTCGTTGTTGCTGTTGTTGTTGTTGTCGTTGTCGTTGTTGTTGTTGTTGTTGTTGTTGTTGTTGTTGTTGTTGTTGTTGTTGTTGTTGTTGTTGTTGTTTTTGTTGTTGTTGTTGTTGTTGTTGTTCATGTCAGTCGCCCTACTGTTCTTGATTGGGCTGGCAGGGCATTTCCCATGTGCGAGATGAGTCCATCCACTCCCAAACAGTGCTTGCACTTGGGGCTTCCTGTGAACTGCTTATGAATTTTGCACTGTGGGCCGCACTTGGCCAATCCCGTTCGGTGCCCCAGGGTTGGTACCCCAGCCATGGTTCCCTCTCTGGTTCTTCGTGGGCCGCAGGCGGCCTCTCCTGGCCGGTGCACCATGGTTGTTGCCCTGTGGCTCCCTGTCCGTGGTTCCTTGTGGGCCGCAGTCTTCCGCTCTCGCTCGGTTCCCAATGGTTGGCGCCGTCAAGTGTCTCTTCTACTGTTTCCTGCGGGCCGCAGTTTGCCGTTTTCGATCGGTCTTCAATGGTTGATGGTCCATGGCTCCTTGTCTACGGTTTCCTCTGGGCCCCGACGGGTGTCGAGGGTGTGCCTGGCCTGCCACGCTTCGCGGCATTGGCACGGGTTGCGACCCCAACCCCTTGCCCTTGCAGATTCCTTTTGTTGCCGGGAAGGTGCTTCGCTCCCCACGCCCTGCGACTGGGGGTACGCTCGACAGTAAAGTCACAAACTTCATTGCGAAATGATCTATGATGAGCATTCGTTTCGACGTGGTGCGTTGTACGTGGTCTGTTCTACGTAGCGTGGTCTGCGTCGTTGTGGGTTCTAAGTAGTTGCGCGTCCTACGTGCATCCACTGGAAGTCTTAAGAAACAGCCGCAACGGTCGCTGACTCCATATTCTGCTTAAGGTAATCAGGAATCGGAAGTTGACCCCAAGCGTTTCCTCGCAGCTCTCTTGTCCGCAGAACTTCCGTATATCTGGACCTGGACTACTGCCTACGACCACGTTTCGAGCGCAGTCCAATGTTTGAGCTCACAGTTTTCGTAAATCTTAGCAGGGGTGTAATCGTGTGTCCTAGGTAGTTGTGTGGTCTACCTAGTTGTGTGTTCTACGTCGTGATGTGTTCTGCGCAGTTGCTTGTTCTACACAGCGTGTTCAACGTAGGTACATGTTCTGCATAGTGGTTTAGTCTACGTAGTTATGTGCTCGATATAGTTGCGTGTGTTTTCGCAGTGTGCTCTACGTAGTTGTGTGTTCTACGCAGGTTCTTTCTACGTGGTGTGTTCTACGTAGTGTGTTCTATGTGGTGTTTGTTACGTGGTGGTTGCTACGTGGTGGTTGCAACGCAGTGTTGCCTACGTAGTGTGGTCTACGTGGTGGTGTCTACGCAGGGTGTTCTACGTAGTTGTGTGGTTGTGTGTTTTGCGCAGGTGTGTGTTCTACGTAGTTGTGTGGTCTACGTAGCGTATGTGTGTGGTCAACGCAGGTGTGCGCTCTGCGCAGTTTTGTGTTATTCGTGGTTGTGTGTTCTACGTATGTGCGGTTTCTACGTAGTGCGTGCGTGTGTTATACAAAGATGTCTGTCCTACACAGCTGTGTGTTTCTACGCTTCTGTGCTCCCTTCGCAGATTTGTAATCTACACAGTTGAGTGTACTTCGCAATCGTGTGATCTACGTAGTTGTGTTCTGCGCAGTGGTGTGTTCCACTTTGTTGTGTTTTCTACGTAGGTGTCTACGCAGTTTTGATCTACCCCGTTTTTTTAACGTAGTGCATTATTCTTGGTATTCTCCGTGGTGCTTGGGGCGTGGTGTTTGCATCGTGTGGTATCCTCTGTGATGTGTTCTCTGTGATGTGTACTACGTGTTTTTCCCGGAAAGGGCGGGGGCCCAGGGTTGTCTTTGAGTTGGTTTACCGTCGGTTTCGACTTAAAGGAGGCCGGCGGACATATTTTGCGATAAATGACGAGTTTGAAGGAGGCCGGCGGAATTATGTTTGAGGATGTCTCGAGCGAAACACTTGTTTTTCAGAAAGTGTTGAGGATGTCTCGAGCGAAATGCTGGTTTTGCAGAGTTGGGGGATGTCTCGAGCGAAGCGCTTGCTTTTCAGAATTTGTTTGAGGATGTCTCCAGCGAAACGCTGGTTTTGCAGAGTTGGGGTATCTAACATGGCGTCGGGCCCAACGCCGAATTATAAGGAAACGCACGGGGGGCCGAAAAGCACTCCCCGAACACGTGTCCCAATACAGAAAAGTGATGGTTCCTTACTCTGAACAAGGGGGTTGCGCTTTGAGGGCCTCTCCAGGGAAGACGTTGCGAGGATGTCTCGAGCGGGAGCGCGAATTTAGCGTATCCAGGTCACGCAGGGGGGTATCTAACATGGCTGTCCCGAGCTGGAACCACGTGTTTTTCATGCTCAGGACACCCAGGGAGATCTCTAACAGGAGCTGCAAAGGGCTCGGGATCAGTGCTCAGGCCACCACGTGTACTTGCTCCTATGTATCATGTGACATGTGTGTTCTGCCGTGCTCCTCGTGCTCCTGTGTGTTCAGCTGGAAGGAGCTGAAAGGACCGAGACGACGACTAACCAGCCGCGAACTCAGCCTTTCCCCTGTCCCTCAGATCGACAAGCCAAAGGCGATAACAGTCTTAGGGATGCGCCCTGAACATGATCGGCCCACGAACCCGGAAAGGAATATAGAGATGTAAGGCGTGGCAACGTTTCAAAGACACCTGATTGGGCGACGGGCAAATGCAATGTTGAATGTATCGATCTTGATGTACTGTGCCCAGGGCTGTGCTGTGCTACGCCGTGCTGAATTGCGATGTGGCATGCCGCGACTGTGCTCTATATAGCGTTGTGGATCGAGTCCTCTTTGCATCCGAGTCCTGACCGAACTGATCTGGATCTTAAGCTCGAGCTGCCTGAGCAGATGGTAGCTGCCCCAGAACTAATCGACAGAGGGGACATGCCAGGAGGACGCGCCGCGGAACGTCCCAAGGGACGCGCCAGGCGACGTGCCAGGGGACGTGCCACGGGGACGCACCGCGGGACGTGCCAAGGGGACGCGCTACGGAACGTGCCAATGGACGTGCCGCGAAACGTGCCAGGGAACGCGCCGCGCGACGTGCCAGGTGGACTCGCCACGGAGTGCGCCAAGGAACGTGCGAAGGTGCAATGTTGAGTGTATCGATCTTGATGTACCGTGACGACGGCTGTGCTGTGCTGGGCCGTGCTGAACTGCGATGTGGCATGCCGCGATTGTGCTCTATAAATAACGTTGTGGATCGAGTCCTCTTTGCATCCGAATCCTGACCGAACTGATCTGGATTTTAAGCTCGAGCTGCCTGAGCAGATGGTAGCTGCCCCAGAACTAATCGACAGAGGGGACATGCCAGGAGGACGCGCCGCGGAACGTCCCAAGGGACGCGCCAGGCGACGTGCCAGGGGACGTGCCACGGGGACGCACCGCGGGACGTGCCAAGGGGACGCGCTACGGAACGTGCCAATGGACGTACACCGCGCGACGTGCCAGGGGGACTCGCCACGGGACGCTCCGCGGAACGTGCCAGGCAACATGCCAGGCTGCAATGCTAGGGGCATCGATGTTGATGTACCGTGCCGAGGGCTGTGCTGTGCCTGGGCGACCTGGACACGTGAAAACACGCGTTTCGATCAAGATGTTCTCAGCACATTCTCATGCTAGACATCCGCCTGGGCAACCTGGACACGTGCAAACAAGCGTCTCGATCGAGACTTCCTCGACACATCCTCATGCTAGACATCCGCCTGGGCGGCCTGGACACGTAAAAACAAGCCTCTGGTTCGAGACATCCTCAACACATCCTCATGTTAGACATCTGTCTGGGCAACCTGGAGGCGTGAAACCAAGCGTCTCGCTCGAGACATCCTCAAGACCTGGGCACGTGAAAACAAGCATTTCACTTGAGAGATCCTTTGAATTCTAGTCCCAAGGAGAGGACAATCTATGACACAAAACAAGAGTTTCGCTCGAGACATCCTCAACAAATTCTGAAAAACAAGCGTTTCGCTAGGGACATCCTCAAAGTTTAATTCGCCAGCTCACCTCGACCTCGAGATTTATCGCACAAGAAATTCGCCGGCCCACCTCAAGTCAAACCCGGAGGTAACCAACTAAAAGAGAACCCTGGGCGTATGCCCTTTCCGGGAAAAGAGGTAGAGTCCAATTCGGCGTGAAACAAATGCTTGTCGCGCGTGCCCGCTCGAGGGAAGTAAAATTTACACCCCACCTCGGATCCTCGATAGATAACGGGGTCCGCGGACCCCCGTGTTCCTTCGTCTTTTGTTTATATATATATATATATATAGAAAAATAAATAAATAAAAACATGATGGACCCACGAACCCGGAAAGGGATATAGACATGTGGAGCACGGTCACGTTTTCACGATACCCAACTGGGCGACACCTCAAGAAACATCCCACGAGACACCCCGCGAAACATCCCACGAGACACCTCACGAAACATTCCACGAGACACCTCACGAAACATTCCACGCGACACCCCGCGAAACATTCCACGAGACACCCCACGAACAGGCAACCACTCAACCAAAGCACATCGCGGACGAGGACGACGACGGCATTCCACGAGACACCCCACGAAACATTCCACGGGAGTGCGACTGGGTGTGGTCGTGCTGTGGTGTGGTCGTGCTGGGGTGTGGTCGTGCTGAGGAGTGGTCGTGCTGGGGTGTGGTCGTGCTGGGGTGTGGTCGTGCTGGGGGGTGGTCGTGCTGGGGGGTGGTCGTGCTGATGGGGTGGCCGTGCTGGGGGGTGGTCGTGCTGGGGCGTGGTCGTGC